CAAACGTCTGAGCCCCAATTTCAGCGAGGCTTTGGGGTTTGGATATACAAGATCCTTCAATACATTATTTTCGGGGACATCCAGTCTTTTTCAAGACAAGGGCCCTGTAATTACCCTGAATGCTTACAGAAAAGGTTTCTGTATATTCTGTTTTGATTATACCCCAGAACTCTCTGACGACAACACAGTACATCTAACCAAAACAGGTAATGCTAAACTCGAAGTTCGATTCGGGACGGCCTTGCCTGTCACTGTGAACGTGATTCTATACAGCGAGTTTGAAAATAAGATCGAGTTAGACAGTGCCCGAAATGTTATAACAGACTTTTGAGATGAATACGAACCAGCTGACGACTATTTTGAAGAGTGACCCCCATACAGCTTCTTATTTTCGAGGCGTATTTGCTCGGGATAAGTTACCCAGGACCCTACAACCGGGCGTGTACATTTACAATTCTCATACATCCAACACGAAATAGGGGAACATTGGTTACTTCTTTTTGTGGACCGTCGTGGGTTGGAATATTTTGATTCTTTTGGACTTAAGCCTTACCACTGTTATGCACTGGGTTATGAAAACGGGGCTGACACTCTTATATAACAAACGACGCCTGAAAGGATTGTTCAGTGATGTTTGTGGACAATATTGCGTATTTTATGCCTATCACCGTTGCAGGGGCCAAAATATGAAAGGAATTGTAAATACATTTTCTCGAAACAACCGTTAGAACAACAGATATGTCCGTCGTTTTGTTGCTCTTAGATTTAAAATGTAAATGTCCATACCTCTATAACCACCCCTACAAGATAAAATGTAACTCTAGATGTAGGATAGTTGAATAAAATGTGTGGGTTTTTTTAGAAAAAAACAAAACAAATGGCTTTTCTTTTTATATTTTTTTATATCGCATATACATAGGGTTATCAACAAATGGTGTTACAATATACGTGATTACAGATACAATCATTATATATATATAAAGTCATACAAAACATTATTCATTTTGTTTGACGAAATCCATAAGCCATTGTATCGTAATAATCCTTAATTTCTACGCGTTTATCGTAATTGAATGATAAGGTTTTTGACTTCTCTTTCATAGAAACCGCAAACACTTTACTGCGGTGGAAAGCTTTCTGGTATGTAACTTTGATCTGACGACAGTGATCATGTACTAATTCAACAAACGTTTGAAACTCGATACGTTGACTGACATCATGGTTAAACGTAATACCTTTAGATTTTATGGTGTAAGAGATTTCACATGTTTTTTTATTTTCTAATTTCAAAGCGTAGGATTTGGGGCGGTAGCAACGTATTCAAGTATATGGCAGTCGGGTGGTATTTCGTTCGTAAACTCGCCTAAATAATCCCCGGTTTTTACAGGGGTATCATTGTCGGTCTCCGTGAAAATGATGGAATCGGTATCAAAATACAGAACCCGATGGTTCAATTTATCTAAATATTCGTACAGCTTCATACGCCCGTAGGTGGCGGTGAAAGCCCCTATAGGCACATTTACGTGAGGGGCAACAGGGCAAAATCTTGGCCTCTGTATACTGAACCAAGACCATTTCTTCATTGAGAATTTCGATATTTTTGACAATCTTTGTGCCAACATAAAGATAATCATAGAAGACGGTTGGGTCGTGCACGAGGCTGCGTGTACACTTGTATCTGTTCGTTCAGCGAATTTTCCCCATAAGCTATTTAAGCAAATCTTTGATACGTATCATAGCCCTCCAAACCCCACCTCCAACGTGTAATGCATGCCCTCTTCATTTACACATACTTTGAACTTATTCTCGTTATTACCTTTTTTAACAAAACGACACGAATAATCCAGAAACAGTTATATTGCATAAGCTACTCGCTATATATTGCAATGCACCCTGTTTCACTTTAAACCATTTATTTAAAACCTAATACCGGCCCACACGCTATCTCGCGAATTTACAAAGGGCCATTCAGTTTTAAATTTTCCTTGGGCATTTTCCTTTACCCTAAACCTAAACGCTACTCGCGATTTAACACGGATCCATACCGTAACCATCCCCGGTTAGACATATATATATACACATTACTTACATTACAGAAAAGTACATTACATTCATTTATTTTCTTTTACCTAGCTTTACTGTTTCAATTTTAGGATTCTTTTTTATTCCTACGTTTATAGACAATTAGTATATTTTAAACCTAACTCTTATTTACTTAACAATGTATCGCATCTACTATGTAGCACTATGCAGTTCTATGAGACACTGGCTAGATGTGGAAATCCCTCCAAACCCCACATCCAACGTGTAATGCATGCCCTCTTCATTGCGACATATAATTGCCTTGTGATCGTCCATTTTTTTCAAACTTCACTTTTTTTCACTTATTTCCTTAACTTAATTAGTTTACTAGTTTGACCTTCTTTTTTAAAACTTTATATTTATCAAATCCCTAACCTTTAAAATTTGTTAAAATTATCCCTTGGTCATTTTGGCTTTCCATTGTCAGTTTATTAGGAAATATATGTACCTACCTAAAAACAATTGGAAACTTCGTCTTCGTCCAAGGATTTCCTCCAGGATCGCATCCGGACGTCGGCGGTACCATCACTGCTATCTTTAATCATTGGCCCATGATCATCGTGAAGGGCTTCCCGCTGTTATGGCGATTCACTCCCAGATTCACAGTCACGGCATCCATTACTGATATCTGTAACACTATCTTACAGATAACAGAAGCTCAACATAATTGATAAGACCTTTATTGAGAACATGAAATAGACATAAATCGGGAGGAGCTCTATTCCAAGTCTGACTTGCTGTCAGTAAATGCCTGCTTATATAGCGTCTAACAATTAGGGGAGATGGACAGGAGTGATAATCATATATGGTATTGTTTATTATCAAATTACGGTGTTTGTAATTACACTGCATATTTCTTTGGAAGTCATTGTCAGGTCAAGGTATGATGCACTGACCACTAATACATTCTCTTTGAAGTTCTGTCGAATTATACACGGATCTCTCTCAAGTCAAAATCATCCTTGATGACTGAATGGAATATAGAAACTTTGTAAAGATAACCAGACATATGCATCACCATATGTTCGTCCAAAAATGACCTAGTTTGTGTCCAGCGGACGTTAAACCCATTTTTTTCTCTCTTTAAAGTATAAATCGTCCTTGCTAATGATTAAATAGAATATATTAAATTTGTAAAGATGTCCATACATATTCTTCATTTGAGGTATTGATAAACGGGACATTTTATCCCAATTGTTGGTGTTTTTAATTTATTTCTGCTTTTTTTTATTATGCCCGTGCCGGTCATTTTTATTTTTTATTTTGTTAGTAGGAAGGTTGCTAGTTGTGGGTAACATTCAACTTTGGCCCTAGTCCCTGCCAAGAACGAACTATAGCCTCTCACACTTTGGTTTTCATTAAATTCAATTTTCAGAGTGAGTTCAGTATCTGGCCAGTACCCAGATATCATTGGCAGTAGAAACTTAAAACTCTGTGTATAGGAGGAATCTGGGTGGTCCTACTAATGCCCACAATGTCGTCTGTCTAAATCAATTATTGTCCGAATAACAGATCATTCAAATTTAGTTCCAAATTAGCCCATTTTTGATTATTTTTCTATTAAAAATATATTTTTTTCAATCTGCTAGGTTGGTATCAACTGAATCAACCTAATATTTTGTGGGGATGTATCTGGGTACTAACCCATCTCACAGAAAAAAAAATTGGTCAAATCCCCGACCCAAGAGTTATCACCCTCTGTACGGTGCTCTCGCGGACACGCTCTTAATGACATTGGTGAAATAAAGATCTTGGAGCCACCAAACCTAGTTTAGAAATTATTATTGTGAGCCTACCCTATCCCGATTCCCCCATACTTTTAGTCGAAAGCCATCTTAGGAGGCTTCTGGAATTTTGCAGCCTAGTAGTTTATTCATCCCTTGACTTTGTGAAATATAAAACATTTTGCCACCAAAGCTGGTTTGGGGGCTTTGTGATGTAGCGTGGACGTACCCTTTGTTTATTGAACCCATGATCCTCGTCTCGAATCCGGGTGCTAAGAACTTTGCGATGATATAGCTCGATTCGCCAACATAGAAAGTTAATAAAAAATTTGCATGTTCATACCTTATGCATTTGTCGAGGAGTTGGTGATATAAAGATCAGGGCCCTTGTTCGCGAAAACTTAAACTATGTTACAACCGAAATTTTAAGAAATACTGCAACTTCATTGGATATATGCAAATTGATTTTACTGGTCAGCCAATCGAATTGCAGTATTTCTTAAAATTTCGATTGTATCTTAGTTTAAGTTTTCGTGAATAAGGGCCCTGGTAGAATTATATGCTTAATCGAAACAGAAATGGCGGCTGTCTTGGGCGCCATCTTGAATTTCTCAAAACGCTCAAGGGTGACCGAGGTTCACCCGACAGATTCTGAAAGATAACACCATAGGCTACTAAAATCAATCATAAAAAAACAACTTTGTATACAATTGGGTTTGGCGACCGGACTAATATAGTAGTAGTAGTACCATCACTTATCTCGAAACACGCAGGGTTGAGAGATGAGGTTTCTTATCTGAGTAGGCTTATGTTTACTACAATCCAGCATGGGGCCGAACCCCCTTTTAGTTTTAAATAGAATCATTTTACCCACCGGCCACCCTTGTATGTAGTGTAGCCTACACTAGTATAAAATTAATTGAACAACGTTTTAAATATATAATTTGGAATTAAAGCTTGAAATTTTTCACGTACCGGAACGTCTTGGAGGTCCCCCAGCTGGACAACAGTAATGCTCATGCAGTTGATTTGGCACATTTGAACGAACGCAGCACTCTAAATTGTATCGCAGATCTTATTTAGTTAAGAAAGTCAAAACCATGGTCTAACCAGGAAACAAAAATAGTCAAACTTCTTATTTAAATTAGATTGGATATTTATGAAAATTAAATAATTTATGATGTAATATTTTAGATTCAGAATGTCAAAGCGAGGATCAACTTCTGTTAGAGTAAGAAGAAGACAGAGTGATGCAAAGTGGAGAGCCAGTGTAGCTACATGTTACGATACATTAAAATTCGTTATGCCCTATGCTCCAAAATTATCCAAGAAAAAAATTTCCAAGGTAAACAAAATCGAACGTAATATTTGACTGCATGGAAAATTCTAAATACTGTCTTGAAAATGCAAGAAACACCAGTGGCACAGCACAAAAATATAAAGATCGATGACACACAATGGGGTTATTCCGTGTCAAACACCCAATGAGATAAACCGAACCCCTTTGATTTTGCTGAAATTTGGTTTATGTGCGTTATAAAGCTTGGTCGGAATAACGATTCCCGAGATAATGTGGCCTATTGAAATTTGTCAATTTTGGTTAAAATGCGCGTGGCGGCCAATATCAGACGCACAACTGGAGCAGCCCGGCAGCATAGATCGTATATAATATTTTTTTTTCTTTTTTTTTAAATTCACTTTTATTTATGTCAATATTTACAAGCACATGTTACGTACATTTATATTATAAAAATGAAATAGATTGTTCTGTATAAACGGTTAATCACAAGGGTTCCTAGATCTAAGTACATAAATCCATCAATGGGGAATCGGTATGGAAGAAGTCTTAAAAAAGATATTTCCATTTATTTATTTTTAATTCCGGAGATATCTCAATCTCCAATTTAGCATGTTCTACTAAAAAGCTTTCATACGTATTAAAGATACATTATGGGAGATTCGATAACGAGTTGGCAGTTCTTACTATAATAGTTAAAAACTAGATAATATAAAGGCAATTTGCTGAACATTTCATTCAAATTGATCAACTATGAGTCGAGAACTAAGCGTTTGTAATTTCCGCCTAGCCTCGATCATCATTACTAAAGTCAGTACAATAAACAGCATAGTCTCGATTATCAATTTAATCGTTAAATCGCGAAGGCTAGCGATGCCATCTAGAGTTGATTATGGTCTGGATAGGTTAATTAATGTCTAATTAATAATTTAGATAACATTTCAGGCCTAAAGAAAGGCCTGCAATAGACAGATTTAGCTCTTGCATAATGTATGTTTAATATTGAGTCTTTCGTTTCGTAGTTTATATATAGGACATAGTTAAAATAATTACATCATTAATGAAAATCCATTCAGTGTTTTTTTTATATAATCTGGTTTGTTAGTTAAACTAAGATGTTTGATATGTGTTTTTATATTTATCTTTATATTGCTGCGATCTAAGATAGTATGAAAATGATTCCATATTATTTGTGAAAATGGGCAGAAAACAAAGAAATCTTCTACATTTTCTATATTAGATTCGCAGAAAGTGCAGAGTGTGTTATCTACTTTTGTAATTTTGAATAATTTATCATTTGTGAATATAATCCTATGGAGATATTTGTATTCAAAGCTCCTCAGTTTTGTACTAAGACATACAGTGTTTATTATTTTAAATGTATTTTCTACGTCTAGATCGCATAACTCTGTATCTAGAATGACTTCCCATTCTTCAATGGCTTTTGGCCTGCTTAACTTTGCTTTTATCCGGCTATCATAAACATCTTTTGAATTTACGTTGTGAAAATCGGTATTATATATTTTGTAAAAATTAGCATTTACATCTTCCAAAGGAGTTATATTACAATTAAAATTTGTATGTATCGCACTTCCAAATTCGTTTGGTTCCTGTACATACCTCAAGATACATTTGGGTATTGCTGGAGGCATTGCGTAGCTTGTGCGAAACATTATTAGGGTTTCACACTGCATAGCTTGTGTGAAAAACTATTGTTTTTGTTCGGATTATTATTCTTATTAAAGATACATTAGTTAAGAGTTTTATAAAGAGTTGGCCATTCTTGCTATAATAATTCAAAAATGGATGATAAAAAAACAAAATGTTGAAAATTTCAGTCAAATTACTTTGTTCTGAACGGAATTGTCACTGTTGGAAGTTTGGTCTAGAAATATGCATCAATTGTGTCTAGTCTGTACCGTCTATGAGAATTGGCGATCGTTTGATTGATGGACGATAACTCCACCCACATATTCTCAATTGTCAAGTAACATGCTCAATAGCTTTGGTAGCCTCGCTTGACAGGCCTTTTCATACTGCACGCAGCGACGCATCTACGTCATACTTCCCAGAATGTGACACTGCCCCGATTAGCCGCCATTTAAAACGCCCACGTGATCATTTTGGGGCGGGACTTATCGACTAAACACCGATTTGTTTAGACAACAGAGTAAAAATAACCCACGCACGTGTGTTTTATGTAAACACGCCATATCGCTGACACTCGCGTAAAAGCGATATATAATAAGTGCTATGGGTAATATTGCAATAAATTCTTTACCATTGTAAACTGTCTTTAGAGTTTCAATCTGTTTATCTTTCAAAACAAGGTTAGATACTCCTAAATTTGTTTTCGCAAACAAAACCGCCTCTGTGAAATTATGTTTCATGGGCGCCGCCATATTGAATAATTAGAGGACTATTTTGTGATTCGGCTTTATTAGTTTGACATCTTTCATACACACAGCGGCTAAATAAACATATTTAATTTCATTCAATAAGACAATAGAAGAGAAATAAATACTTTTAAAAATTTCTAAAAGCATACTCAGTGTTTTCGACTAAAATCGTCGATGTAGGAATTAAAATGTCGGTTAATTAGCTTAGGGCCTATTCTCAGCCGGAGCTAGCTGTAGATAGGCAGCCTAAGTTTGGGATGAGGCCTTTTATCACCAGTTTCCGGAAAACATCAGCGACTTGGTCGCCATTTATTGATTTAATTTTAAATGGACGACTTTTTAAATCCAAACTGTATCCAAGCCATCCGTGGGTCTACACAGTTGATTTTGAGCTTGTCGTGTAAATAAAGGTCTAATTAATAATTTCTATAACATCTGAAGCCTAAATAAAGACTTGCAATAGGTAGATTTAGCTAAGCTTTCATATTTCATATGAAAGTTTATTGTTTTTGTTAAAGTTATTAAGCTTTCATATTTCATATTTCATATGAAAGCTTATTGTTTCTGTTAAGATTATTATTCTTATTTTTTTATGTGTGTTTGTTTTCTGCAAAACGGATTACTCAGAATTCAACCATACGATCTAATTGAAACTTTGACTTACCCCCCCCCCCCACACACACACACTCATAAAAAAATGGGTGGTGAGTTTTGATTAAATATATTTTCAAAACGTTTTACGAATCCGAAAAAAACGAATTTTACGAACGAAAACAATAACAGTGCATAGTCGTAACTTTGTGGGGTTTTTTTTTTACCTATTTTACTAATTCTTTTTTTCTCTGAGTACCTTGACGAAAGGCATTTTCACCTGCAATTTCAGATTTTCCCGGAAGTTGAGACCAACTTAACAACTTCTTTAAAATTTGCATGATTTTCATGAAATTTGGAATGTAAGTAGATCCCACTGATGCGACTTGAAAGATGTCATTAGAAACTTTCTAAATTATCTTCCCTTGGATAATTTAAGGATCAAAGTTTTAAAAAAATAATTGACAAAATTTAGCTCTGATTGCCTTGAAATTTATTTTCTGTACTATCTAAGAAATTACTGACGCGTACACATATCAGTCAACTGGTGATCACCATTTTGAATTGAATATGAAAATAATGAAAAATCTACATTAATGGACTTGCAAATAAACACAATAGGCCGTAGTTTGTTGAATTCGTCTTCTATTTCTGAAATTAATACATTTCTGGATAGCCGGGAGCAGCGTCGAATTTGGTGTATTTGAAAATGTCACAATTTCTAGTTTTGCCTTTGACGTTTTTAGTGCCGACAAAGTTGTTTACGAAAGAAAAATCGCATTAACTTCGCGAGTTTTTGACCCATTTTAATGATTATATTTTCTTGTTGAGATTCTGTATATAACCCATGACATGTGACAGGAAGTGACCGTGAATATGAAAGCTTTCATATATGCCAGGCAGATCTAGTTAGGGTTTCAGACTGCGTAGCTTGTGTGAAACACTATTGTTTTTGTTAAAATTCTTATAAGGGTTTCACACTATTGTTTTTGTTAAGATTTTTATTAGGGTTTCACACTATTGTTTTTGTTAAAATTATTATTATTATTATTTTTCCGCCCGGGAGCCTATTTCTCAGTGTCTGTAACAGATAGCGATCTGGGACCTAATTTTCTATTGGGAAACCATGTGGTGGCTACTTGATCAACTACTTTTGAAACTTCTGCGCAGACCGGAAGTGGTCGAATTTGTTACGGTGCCCAAAACTCAGATACTGGCCCTGAGTCTTCCGGAACAATAGCAGTTCAATATTTCGAAATTTCGAAACTTTGTCGTTGACTTATATTGTCGAATATTGCAAACATGTCGCTTACGAGACAATTTTTGTTAATTTTCAAAATATTCAAATTTGACCTACATTTTTGGATACCTTATGTCGATCCGATTCCAGTATGAGTAATATAAGTTCCATTCAGAGTTATCGCCCTTTTTTTTCGAATTTTTTTTTCGAATTTTTTGCCCATTTTGTATCCTACTTTTTTCTTTTTACGACCTAATCGATGTTTCTGAAACTTCTGAAGCATGAAGTCATATGACCATAGCAAGGAATAAAGCAATTTCAACAATGATCTGTATACCGGAAGTTGTCGAATTAATGTCCGATATGTTGAAAACAACACAAAAAATGGATACTTTTGGAAAAAAACGCGATTTCTTTGTCCGATATCACCGGATTAAACCAATTAAGGTGGCGTTGAGTGGCCCGATGAATGGGCCATCGTGTAATACCCAATGCATACGGATACTATGACCAGGCAGCAAAATATGGCACACTAAAAATGAAGTATAACTATGTATAATGTGTATTGAAATATTGAAATTTAATTCTCGAAATTTTGACATTTTTGCATTTTTGGCACTTTTGAACTTAGGATTTCTCAAGGGCATTTTATCTGATCAGATAATGTAAAATATCATTACCGAGCCCTGCGGCTATTTAATTACCAAAACCAGTTATCAAAATTATTCCGACAATAATCTCCATACCGGAAGTATTCAAAAAATGAAGAAAAGGGTTAAAAAAAAAATTGGCGCTCTTGCGAAAAACTTGATTTCTCC